AATCTATTACATCAAAAGGTGGTTCAACAAAAACTTTTTTACTGGTCTTCTAAGCATTACTTCTTCCTGTTGCTCCAAAAACTTGGTTATCCCTTTCTAGGCTCCCTTTTCCTAGTTGGTGAGCAATTCTATTCCCCTTCCTGAAAGTGTGTTGGAGAGTAACCCTCTGCTGGTGCATTAAGGACCTGCAATCATTAACAGTTTTATTAAATAATTTATTACCAGCTTGTAAGGCCTGGATTACCTTTGAGCAGTCTGTCTCTATTTCAAGTGGGAAGAGATTCCACTCCTTTGCTGTCCTTAGACCTTCTCGTAGAGCTTTCAATTCTGCTGCTAGTGAGCCATTTGCATGGGTTAGTTTTGTAAAACCAACTACCCAGCTACCATTTGCGTTTCTGAAAACACCACGTAAACCACAATTTTGATTATAGCTATGAAAACTGGCATCTACATTTAGTTTGAACCAACCCCTAGGGGGTTTGAACCAGTTGATTTTTATTAGTAATTTGGGAGGGTGAATAGAGATTTTTCCATGAGTAATTTAAATTCTATAGCCCTTTGCTTGATTGATAACCACTGGTTTGGTTAGAAGTGTTATTGTGATTATTACTGTTTCTATTAACCCAGATGTGCCAAATGATGAAGGAAAGTATGTGTTCCATTTTAGGAAATTATGTTTAAGAGGAAAGTTGAAGTCCTTTATTTGGATAAGCCAATGTCTCCCATTTTGGTTAATAAGCTGGTTGCATTGAAGGTCGGTCCAGAGTTTGTTGACAGCTTTGTATTCTAGGAAGATATGCTCGATGGATTCTTCATAAGGGCTTTTACAGATGGGACGGTTAGGGTCAATGTTAAGTCCAATCTGCGAAAGATATTTTCTGCAAGGGATTCGATTGTGAAGGCATTGCCATAGGAAAAATCTAATTTTATTGGGACAGTCCAATTTTCAAATCCACTCGAAGTCTAAGTTAGTATTATAAGGAGATTCCAAAAGCGTATAACAAGATTTAGTAGTAAAAAACCCCTTAGTGATGAGAGACCAAATAGGTAAGTCAATTGAGGGACCCTTAAGACGGACTTTTATTTTAGTGATATTAGCTAGTAAGTCTGGAGGAAGGGAGAGGTTAAGTATTCTAAATTCCAATTTGTACCATCGAAGATATCTCTTATTTTTGTGGAAATATCTTTGGCCGAAGGGGGGCCTATTACATGGTTCCTTAGGTTACAAAAATTTGGTATCCAATTGGCCTCCCGTAGGTTAAGATTTGATTGAAGGTGGGGGGACCATATGATGCCCTTGGAGCAGATGTCCCACCCTTTGCAAATGCTTTTCCAAATGTAGGAGGATCTATTCATAGAGGAACTATTGCAACAATAAGAGATGATAAGCTTTGCCCATGGAATTAGTGCATTTGTGAGAAGTCTCCAACTTAAGCTAGTTAGAGTACATAGATTTTTATTAAGAGCGTTGTGGATGCCTAATCCACCATATTTTTTGGGTTGGCATATGGTGGGCCAGTTCACCATGTGAATTTTCCTTTTCTTTATTGTGCTACCCCATATGAAGTCCCTTTGGACTTTATCAATCTCTTTTAGGATTTTCCTGGGGAGGAGGGTGTATTGCATGTAATGTTTTGCGATGGAATTAAGGCATGATGCTGCAAGGGTTGTTCTTCCTGCCAAAATAAAGAATTTTATTTTTCATGAGGCAAGTATAGTTCTCATCTTATCAATTAGGAATTGATATTCCCGAGGTTTTAGGCTATGGTGTAAGATAGGGAAACCTAGGTATGTACCAAAATTGATACTATTCTTAATTCCTAACATAGTGGTAATGTCTCTGATAATAATATGGTTGCAAATTTTTGAGAAAAGTAATTTTGACTTTGTAGCGTTGATACTTTGACCCGATAGAGAGCAAAACTGGTCAAGGCCATTTTCAATAGCTTGACAAGATTTAGCATTAGCTCTTGCCATTAGTGTAAGGTCGTCGGCATATAATAAATGGGAGATTTTCGGACATTTATAACCTAAAGATATAGGGTCCCAATTCTTGATGTCCACTTGATGTTCTATATATCTAGTGAGCATTTCTAGGCAGAGGATAAAGATATAGGGGGGGATGGGGTCTCCTTGTCTAATACCTCTACTTGGTTGAAAGTAATTTGTAACATCCGTTGACTAAGATTGCTATCTTACTGGTAGAAATGCGATTCAGTAATAATTTGGAGAATTTTGGAGGGAAATTAAAGTAATCCAGGGTGTGGCGAACAAAAGACCATTCTAAACGATCAAAAGTCTTTTCTAGGTCGATTTTAAGAATCATATGGCCCTGCTTGCCTTTCAGTTTGTTAAACTTAGAAATCATTTCCTGGATGATGATAGCATTACCGGACGCTCTTCTGTTTTTCATGAAGCTAGCCTAATATGGACTGATCAATTGATCTAGGAAAGGTTTAAGATGGTTGGCTAGAATCTTGGTGATTAGTTTGTAGATAGTATTGCATAAGCCAATGGGTCTACAAATTTTAATATTGTTGGCATTATGGATTTTGGGAATGAGGCACAGAAAAGTTTTGTTAATTTTCGGAGGGATTTCCCGATTGTTAAAAATATTGTGACAAAGATTACTAACAAAATGCCCTATGTGATACCAATATTTTTGAAAAAAGAAGGGGTGTAAACCATCTGGACCAGGAGACTTAAAGGGTTTGAACGAGAAGACAGCTCTTTTAATCTCATTATCTAGAAAGGGGGTATCTAGATTGTCTAGATTAATCTTATTACATCTGGTTTGGGGATTTAGGGGGTTTGCCCAGATAGAATGAGAGTGAGAAGAAGTAAATGTAGAGGTAAAGTAATTTTGAACATGAGACATAATTTGGCTATGATCATTTATCCAGTTATCTGCCTCATCTTTGAATAAATAATTTTGTTTCTTCTTTTCCTATTAGTGGCTGAGGCATGGAAGAATTTTGTATTTGAGTCTCCATCATTAAGCCATATGATTCTAGACCTAAGTTTCCAGTAATCTTCCTCTATTTTTAGAATATCATTGAACTCATTTTGAAGGTCTAATTCTAATTTTCTAAGGAAAGAGCTGGTAGCATAGCTATTAGAAGATTGGATGCCTTGGAGTCTAGCTAACAATTTTCTCTTCCTTCCCATGATATTGCCAAAGGTACTGTCTTTCCAGGGTTTTATCTTATCAACAAAATTGAGGCTAGCTTTAAAATGATCACTATCATTCTAATTATTTTTACAATTGTCTGAAACTCCGGATGTTTACACCAAAAAGTTTCTAGTCTAAAAGGAACCTTATGGGGAGACCTATTCCTTGGAATCAGTTCTATAAGGATAGGAATGAATATGCTTTATTTTTTATAATCATAGAATATTTACTATATGAAATTATTTATTTATTTTAAATATTTTACTAATCTCTTACTTTATTATATTTTATACTTCTAGTTAATTATGTATTTCAATTAGAAAATTTTACCTCCTATAGCAAAGGTTGATGCCTTATTTATTATAAATAAATACCCTTTTAAAAAATTATCTCATATAGCTACCTTTTAATTTTTATAGCAAAATATCTATTTATGGTCACTTCCTACCTTTAGGCCATTAAATACGTTGTGTATTAATTTTCTCTCTCCCTCTCTCTTCCCTCTCTCTTCCCTCTCTCTTCCCTCTCTCCTCCTTTCTCTTTCCTCTTTCTTCTCTTTTTCTCCAGGTTTTTTCCTCCCCTGCTTTTAGAAACCCTAGCAGGGGCTGTGTTCCGCCAATGACAGATCCGACCGACGACCACTTCCCCCTTTCTTTATTGTGTCACCCCTAACACCCTCATCCAACCACTGATTTCTTTCACACAGTTGTGCTACACATTATAAATTTTTCTTAGAGTTTGCATTGATTGTTCATGTTTGCCTTGTGAGATCTGAAGAAGTTCTGTCTCTAGTTTCCGTTTGATCCTTTAAATTGGTGCTTCTTTAACAACTGTCTTCTTTTAACCGGCGGCGACGCTCCACATGGCTGCGACCTAGATACCGGTGGATTGGGGGCGGAGTTTGGGGCTGAGGAACTTGAAGAGTCTGTTACCTTTTTATTTCATTGTATTTCAATGTATCTCGTTGTATTACATGTATTTTATTGTATTCACTGTCTTTTTTTTCATTGTATTTCAATATATCTCGCTGTATTTTATTGTATTTTATTGTCTCGCTGTATTGCATGAAAGTATTCATATATTTTTTTAATTAATATAATTTATGTATTCAGATGTATATATGTATTCAAATGTATCTGCAGTATGTATTCATATGTTTTTGCACTATAAATGACCTGCTATACTTCATGTATTCAATGTAATTATATAATTTCAATATATAAATCTATTTGTAAAGATACAACTAAAAAATAATTTAGTAAAGACACCACTAAAAAAAGAAAGGATGGATTCAATCTCTGAAGATTGCTCTATTTTTGGGTGTTTTTCAGTTGAGAATCTTTTCTAAAATTTGGAATACAAATTTTGTGTGTTATAATTGAGTTTGTTGAGTTATATTAGGAGTCTATCGCGTTAATTGATTCACTTACCATTTTTAAACAGCCGAAGACATTTTTTTTCCACAAATTGCGTTACTGTATTCACGAATACAACTCGCGAATACAACTCGCGAATACAGTAGAATACATTCTCTGCTTAGCTGGAGTCCCCTGTTTTCTGCCGAGTTTTGCTACTGTATACATGAATACTGTAGCAAAAATACATCGAATACAGTCTATAGCAACTGAAAACATAGTTATAGGAAGTAATAAAGTAAATGGTAGCTATAACAAGCTAATAATCACTAAAACATTGTGGTTTCTGAAAATTTCTCTTTTACTTATTAGTATATAAATTAGAAGCCCAATTTTTTATGACCCTTTTTATCCATTTCGTAGCCCAACCTGTTAGCCCAATACTAACCTAAATCCATTAATTCAACATTCTAGTCCAATTATCCCCAAAATCAATCCAGACCAAAGTAAACATTTCCCTAATCCCTTTCCATGAACCCCTTCGTCCTACACCATGGGAACCGACTCCTCTTTCATCAAATTTTCAATTTTATCTTCTTTCCTACTTTTTATTTTTTGTTACTTTGTTTCTATAAATTCTTGTACCCATTTAGCCCCTGATTTTACACCCCAATCCCTCCCCAAATTGCAAAATCAAGATCTCTTTTGTCCTCCTCTTTCTGTTTCCAGAACATATGGAGAAGATGATGTGGAAATCAAGAGAGGAATTAGCCCAAGTTCATTGTACCACAAGATAGGTAGAACATAATTTTCCTGATTTATTGTTTTTCTGATTTGGTTCTCTTTCCTATCAATTTGATTTTTAAAAACTCAATCTTGTATGATTTTTTCTTTTAAAAAGCTTTCCTTTCCTAACCTGAATTATTTCTCTATTCATATATGGACGAATTTTAGTAATATTATTACACTTTTCTATATAGACTAGATCACTTTCTTTCTAAAGTTGGACCTCTAACTTTTGGTAATTGATTTTGTCAAAATTTCTTTACTAATTAGCAACCTTAAATTTCGCCTGTTTTACCTTTTATAACTTAGAGGCTTAGTAATTTCTTAGCTATAAATATTCTATTGTTAAGACCATAGAGATGGGGAAGAAATTGGCATTTTCGATCACTACTTTTGACCACTACTATTCATGACCATTGTACCCTTTTTACTAAGATTCATTACATTTTTTGCTCTTCGATTCTTGCTTTCTCGGTTGTAAGTCGAGGCAAAATCTATTTCTTTTATTTCCTCTCGGTATTTATATTCTTTCTTGTTGCTGCTGTTCATAGTTTATCGCTGCGAAATTTGGTCTATTTTGCTATTGAAACTCTGTTCGTGTACTATTCATTTGGATTTCTGGTTTTCTTATTAATTCGGCACTTCGCGAACTGCTTAGTCTTTAAGACGATGCATTACGATTCCTTATGAGGTAGTTGTATGTAAAGTGTTGCCTTTAATTTACTTGTGGTTGTATTGATCGATGTGTAAAGCATTCGCATTCTGCGATAGAAGCGTACGAGTATATTGTACCCTCCATTTATAAATCTTGGTATTCTTTCTCTATTTGTGTTTATGCTCGTTTGGCTATGCCGGATGCCGTGCGGTATCTCATTGAAAGCATGTACCATATGATGATTAGGTATGTCTCCATGACTCTTGTGTGTGCCTATTTCCCGATGTGATTATTCTTTTATTGCAATCGATATCATATCGTTAGGAATTTCAAGACATGTATCTGTACGTACGTGTTCGAATTTATGATTGTATGTAATTTTTTCTAGATGACTATTTTTCAGAATGAATTCAAAGCTCCTCTAGATACCATGCTTTAGGTTTCAAATACTATTTGATTCGAATTTATGATTGCATGTAATTTTTTCTTGATAACTATTTTTCTGAATGAATTTAAAGCTCCTCTAGATACCATGCTTTAGGTTTCAAATACTATTTGATTCATGCTTAATGTTATTGGCGGCTTTCAGCCATGCCCCATGACCCCTTGGGCGCGCACCGTGGCGTCCTAGCAAGCCTCCGAGTGCCTAGCGCCACGGACGGCCCCGTGGTCTTGGCCGTGCCATGCGACAAGCGCGTATGTGCCTTTGTCGTCCCATTATTATCCCTCGCCAGCGCCCAGCCGCAGGCAGATGCAAACAGTGCCGCGCGCGCATACAACGCCGCGCGCGCAGATCGTGATGCCAAAGACAATGCTGCTGACAACGGACCTGTTTCTGCCTTGTAGAAAACTGAGTCCTTTTCATTGTAAATATAGAGTAGTTATATTTCATGTACTTCCATTATGTTTCTCTAGCTTAGTCAAGTCTAGTCTTGTAGCTTTGGTTTATTTTTCTTAAGCATTATTAGGGGGATCAAGCAATCAAACTTTCTAGCAAGCAAACAATTCTCTGTACTGGTTTGTCTCTCTCTCGACAACGTGTTGCTTTTCTGTAATAGGTTTCATTAATGTAATCAAGTTTTCTTTCATTCTCAATTCTCATTTCTGTTCTCTCAATTGCTCTTGACATTGATTTTTCCGTACGGCACTGACAATCTCGTCTAGCGTACGGAAGTGACCTCAGTTGGCGGACAGTTGCATCAGTTGCTTAGCCTTACGTCGCCCTTCAAGAAATCTCAGGAAGGCGACGCGTAATAGTTGGTATCAGAGCCTAGGCTCGACATTGAACGAGGGAACGCATTGTCATTACCACCATTTCTGACCACGGTGAATCACGAGGACCGCATTGCGGCCCTTAAAGAGACGGTTGACGTATTACGGCCATCGTGGATACGGTGCCTAAAATAAGAACCAGTCTAGTGCAAAGGTTGGACGACCTGGATCGTAGAGTGCTCCAAGCCGAAGTTGACATAGAAAACATCAGTCGCGGCTCCGAGGGAGACCAACAAACGGCAGCCACAGAGGCAGCCGAATCTTTTGGCAAATTCGAGGGACTCCAACCGGAGCGTGCCGAGGATTTTGCCTACAGGGCACAAGAGGCAGACATGGTGCCTGCCATGCAACAAACTATTGACAACTTGACAGACCAGCTCAATTTTGTCAATACTGCTTTATAGGGCCTGCTTCGGGGAGGTGGAAACCAAATCAGGGGCGCTGTGAACCCCGCCGCGACACAAAAACTGAAAATTCCTGAGCCAAAGCCATACAAAGCTAGGAATGCCAAAGAAGTGGAAAACTTCATCTTTGACATCGAACAGTACTTCGATACTGTTGGGGGCCTAGAAGAAGCTAAGAAGGTAGCAACTGCTTCCATGTATCTTCAGGGTGATGCTAAACTCTGGTGGCGGGTGAAGTACGAAGCCATTAGGGCCGGTGAAGATGCTCTCGAGACATGGGCAAAACTGAAGGCAGCCATACGCCTACAGTTCTTCCCCGAAAATGTTGAATACAATGCAAGGAGAAAGCTACGGCAGCTCCGCCAGACCCAATCAGTGCGGGACTACGTGCGGGAATTTTCCGCGCTCATGCTAAACATACGCGACATGGGAGACAAAGACAAGCTCTTCACCTTCCTGGAAGGGTTGAAACCTTATGCCTGTGTGGATCTACAAAGACAAAGGGTAGATACCCTACCTATGGCGATCCAAGCAGCTGAATGCCTTGGGGACTATCGAGTGGAAGCTCGGAAGGATAGGCCCAGCCGCCTGCCCGAGAGGGATTCAAAGGGGGCCAGCCTAGCAATGGTGGCCCTAGCAGAAGTGGGGGAGATCGGAGCTCAACCAAATCTAAGGCTCCCTCCTCAGGAAGCAATAGTGCTGCGTCAAACAACAATGACCGGGGGAGAAAGCCTCCTTCTGGATACCGTCATTGCGGCGGACCACATGGGAACAATGAGTGCCCACATGCATAGATGAACGCCCATCAGGCTTTTGATGATGGGACTGATGACGATTCAGATGATGCGGACAAGACTGAACCAGTAGGCGCCTTCAATGCAATTGTTGGCTCTATTTCTGAGGTATTAGCGGAGACCAGTGCTGGTATCCGTAAGAAGAAGGACCCATGTCCAGTCACCAAGAAAGGGAAAAAGAAGGCGGATGAGGAGACTTCTCTTAAACAAGAGAGGTCCTTGATGTTCGTCGAGATGAATGTGAATGGCAAGCCCATATGGACAATGATAGACACGGGTGCTACCCACAACTACTTAGCCTCGACTCAGGTGTAGCACCTTGGTCTAGTTGTAGGAAAAGGTAGAGGTCGTGTCAAGGCTATCAACTCACCTCCTCAGCTAGTGTGTGGAATAGCCAAAGAGGTACCGGTGAAGCTTGGCCCTTATGAAGGAAAATTCAACCTGCGAGTGGTGATCATAGATGACTTCGAGTTGATAGTTGGGTTGGAATTCCTAAGACAAACCAACACCATGCCTGTACCATATGCAGATATGCTACTGATGATGGGAACAAATGGGGCCAAGCCCTGCATTATCCCGTGCATGCCTATGAAGATGGCCGTTGAGAACATATCGGCCTTGCAGTTGAAGAAGGGGGTCAACAGACATGAACCTACGTTCCTGGCAACCCTCTGCATTGAAGATATAGAACGCTCCTTGGGTCCCATTCCTGCGCCCGTGAAGGAGCTACTACTGGAGTTTGAAGATGTCATGCCAGAAGACATGCCAAAGCGACTACCGCCTACGCGCACTGTGGACCATGAAATTGAGTTGGTGCCGGGCGCGATGCCACCCGCCCAGGAGCCCTACAGAATGTCACAACCCGAACTCACTGAGCTTCGGAGACAATTGACGAAAATGCTAGATACAGGGATCATTGTGCCCTCCAAGTCCCCATACGGGTCCCCTGTTCTATTTCAAAAGAAATATGATGGTAGCCTACGACTCTGTGTGGATTATCGGGCTCTAAACAAAATCACCGTGAAGAACAAGTACCCTATTCCGCTAATGGCAGACTTGTTCGATAGACTGGATGGTGCGATGGTGTTCACCAAGATAGACCTGAAGACAGGTTATTGGCAAGTTCGGATTGCAGAGGGTGATCACCACAAGATGACCTGTGTGACAAGATATGGTCGTACGACTTCCTGGTCATGACGTTCGGCTTGACTAACGCCCCAGCTACATTTTGCACTCAGATGAACCAAGTCTTTCGAGAGTACATTGACGAATTCGTGGTGGTCTACTTGGATGACATTGTGGTATATAGCCAAACATTGGAAGAACACCTAGTGCACTTGCGGAAGGTCCTAGCTCGATTGCGGGAGCATGAACTATATGCGAAGCTATCCAAGTGCTCATTTGCTCAAAAGCAAATTGATTTCCTTGGACATGTCATCGAGGAATGGCGAATTAAGATGGACCAACAGAAAGATTCAGGCAATCACAGATTGGCCGCCGCCTAAGGATGTCCACGCCTTGAGGGCATTCCTTGGCCTATGCAACATCTACCGGCAATTTGTGAAAAACTACTCCCTCATCGCAGTGCCATTGACCAAACTCCTCAAGAAGGTCACACCCTGGGATTGGGGACCGAGGCAAGCGGAGGCCTTCAACGCCTTAAAAATTGCTATGTCTAGTAGCCTCGTCTTGGCCCTCCCTTATTTGGCCAAGCCATTCGACGTACAAACGGATACATCCGACTATGCCCTTGGCGGAGTCTTTCTACAAGAAGAGCATCCTGTAGCGTACGAGAGTCAGAAAATGAATGATGCAGAGCGGAACTATGCCGCCCATGAGAAAGAATTGTTGGATGTCATCTACTACTTGCGCCTTTGAAGGCACTATCTTCTGGGGACCCTGTTCGTGGTCAAGATAGACAACACAGCTATTAGCCATTTCACGACCCGGCCGATGCTAAATGGTCGACAGGCCAGATGGCAGGAACTCCTAGCTGAATTCCACTTCAACCTGGAGTACCAAAGTGGGAAGACCAATCATGTTGCTGATGCACGCAGTCGGAGAGCTGATCTAGCATCGGTGTGCCTACTCGCCACCCTAAGGGAGAGCGAAGTAGCCACCTTCATCAAGGACCAGATATAGGATCTACTCTTCAAGGATCTTGCTGCACAATATTTGGTTGATTTGGTAGGACAGGGCAAGACTCGCCAGTTCTACATGGGAGATGGTTTTCGGAAAGTGAAAGGGAACCGATTTTATCTTCCTAAGGAGGAGATTTGTGAAGGACTCTTTTGGTGGAATGTCATGATACTCTGTGGGCCGGCCATCCCGGTGAAGAACGCACTATGGCGTTACTTCACCGTTCATATTATTGGCCTCAAATGGCAGATGATGTTGCTTAGTATGTGAAGACTTGTCTAGTATGCCAGAAGGACAAGTCAGACCGCTTGACACAAGCAGGACTCTTGGAACCACTAGCTGTCCCAAAGAGGCCTTGGGAAAGCGTTTCCTTGGATTTCATCACCGGATTGCCAAAGGTCGGAGATCTCACAACTATCTTGGTTGTGGTGGATCGGTTTTCCAAGTATTCTACCTTTATTGCAGCCCCACAATATATATTAGCATAAGATACAACTCGACTCTTTTTCTCTCATGTCGTCAAATATTGGGGCCTGCCCAAAGAAATTGTTAGTGATCGTGACTCAAGCTTCACTAGCAACTTTTTGACCTAACTCTTTAAGTGGCTTGGGTCAAAATTGAGTTACAACTCAAGTTTTCATCTGCAATCTGATGCCCAGACGGAGCGGTTAGATGGTATGTTGGAGGAATATCTCCACCACTTTGTAATCGGATCGCAGAAGAATTGGATGAAGCTTCTGGATGCTGCTCAACTGTGTTTCAATTCACAAAAGAGCTCTAGTACAAACAAAAGCGCTTTCAAAATTGTTAACGGACAACAACCGCTACTCCCACACACAGTGAATGCACCAAACATGTCTAAATCTCCTCGAGCTGCTAGCTTCTCAAAAGAGTGGAAGCGAAATTTTGGAGATGGTGCGGAACTATCTTGTCAAAGCTCAAAAGCGGATGAAGAGGCATGCTGATCAAAATCGTCGCTTTGTTGAATACCAAGTAGGAGACAAAGTGATGGTCAAAATCCCAAAGCGGTACTTATTTGCGGGGATCCATGACCCTCGCCTATTGCAAAAATACATTGGACCCTTTTCCATTGAAAGGCGCATTAGGAAAGTTGCATACCGGGTGGATACCCCAGCTTGGTGGAAAATTCATCCTATCTTCCATGTTAGCCTTCTGAAACCTTTTCGGCAAGACGCGAAGGATCCTTCACGGAGCCATCTCACAGTACCCAGTATTCGAGGTGCCAATTCAATCGAGAAAAGGTGTGTTGAAGCTATCCTTGATGATAGAGTGATTCATGCCTCAAGGAAAAATCACCAAGA